GGTTTAGGGTCTAGGGTTTAGGGCAGCGTTTGGATCCTTTTGGCCTTTTGGGACGATGCTTTGGAGAGGTTGAAGAGGAGCGAGCTGCGGGCCTCAATTCCGTGTATATTCTGGAACAGCGGGTTGGGATTTAGGGCTAGGGTACTGGATAAGAGATGTCAGCCAGGTTTTCTTTGCTTCCCTGCCGCTGGAGCCCTTGCAAGATTTCGTGTACGGCCAAAAGAGTCAGAGATTAAATGCTCAATGCACAGTGCTTACCTGTTACCAATGGTTCATACCCCTACTGCTGTCTTTCTTGCGGTTTGTCTGTGTGTGTGTTGTTGAGACCGGTGGGGACGCCAACATCTGTCTGTTACATGGAAAAGTGGGCGCGTGAAATTGGACTGGAGCATGGTTGTAAGACCTTCAAGATATGTCACCTTCATATGTATGTATGTATGTACGTATGTCGTATGTATATGTATGTATATATACAATTGCATTGAGGGGCCTCACTGTGTGAAACTCTCTCCACAATTACTCGAAGTTGCACCTTGCAGGGCGTCATTGTTTCGGCAAAGTATCCTTGTCTTCAGCTCTAGTCGTTGTGTCGCTTGGCCTTGGGTTTTATCAACCTGTAGCGGAAATAGCTCTACCTAAAGTATCGACTGTAGTTTTAGTTTTCTGTTTTTGGTAGGCCTATATGTTTGTGGTTAAAACTTTCTATGCCTAAGCTTCCTTGACCCAGAAGAGGAACTACAATGGCGACTTTAGGTAAGCTTATAGTTCTACACACTGTTCATGTCTCGGATGCTTCAATCGACACAGCAGGTTCTGTGACCGACACCGCGGATATGCAGAACATCTTGGTGCTGACAAGCACTGGAGAGCTCTGTATCCACAGTACACCGGCGAGGGAGTCGTCATTGCCGGAGTGCGTCGCCCGGCTGTCTCCTTTGTGTTCGTAGAGCCAGTCTGAGATTGTTGAGTGTTGAAGAGCATAGCGGCTGTTACACGTGAGCACTCATTGGGATGAACCATGTTGCTACATCCTGCCCCCCTTCATTTTCGTCTCACAACAGAGCACTAGAGCTGAGGGCCCTTGGCTTGGAACAAGTGGCGTGTCGCCGCTGGGTTTGTTCGTATCAACGAGCTGGATGGAACTATAGAAATCGCTCGGGGCTCTCGCGATCCCGACCTGACGGACTCTCCAGCAGAGCCCACACCAGCACAAGCAACGCCGGATCCTTGGGTGAACTATTCCGGCCTGCATCAGCCGCACCCACAATCCATGCAGCCGGCGGCTTTCCCATCACAGCCTCCACACGGACAACCTCCGCTGGATCGCTGGGCCAATTCCTCAGGCGTACAACATCAGCCTTGCCAGCAGCCACAGTCGCTGCATCCCCCACAGCCGTCGCAGATGCAGCACCAGCACCAGCACCAGCACCAGCACCAGCACCAGCACCAGCACCAGCACCAGCAACAGCAGCAAGCACACCCGGCAGGTTTCCCAACCGCGTACTCACCTGCGCCACCTGCCCTGGATCCGAATTCTTCAGCATCAGGCGTACATCAGGCTTACCAGCAGCAGCAATCGCTGCACCCAACGAAGCCGGCACAGCCGGCGGCTTTTCCAGCAGAGCCCCCATCCGCACAGCCTACGCTGGATCCTTGGGCCATTTCTGCGGGCGTACCTCAGCCCTACCATCAGCCACAGTCGCTGCAGCCACAGCAGCCGCAGCAGCTACCGCCGCCGTGGCAACAGGCGAGCGCCAGTTCTGTAGCATTCCTTCTTGCTTTGGCTATTTTTCAGTTTTGGACCATGTGGAGTTTGGAATTAAGCAGTAAACCGAGAGGGAGAGGAAGAAGAAGCAGAGTACGACTGATTAGTTAGTTTTCAGGTTTACTGCAGGGAGAATACAAAAAACAAAGTGATGACTTGTGGCCGAGATAGCTTATGGCTACTGGCTCCTCGGGGTTCGCAGAGCCTTGCACAGAGGTCGCAAGTGTCTGCAGCCTTATGAATTATATGAATGCTTGTGAGCCTGCATGCGTATGGGTCCATGTACTTTATATACATACATACATACATACATACATACATACATACATACATATATACATACATACATACATACATACATACATACATACATACATACACTTCTTATAGGAATATTGACCCGTTAGGCCCTCAGGTGTATGAAGCTTGTGGCATTAATACGTTTGGGGATTCCTTTGATGCTCAAGGCAAGTCAACCATATCCCTCTGCGCTAGCGCAGCAGCATACAGCGGCCTTCCCAGCGCTTCTGCAGCAAGATGTAATGTACTAAGCAGGTTTAGGGTTTAGGGTTTAGGCTATATAGTCATCAACAATAAACTCTTGCGGGCTCCATTTTGCAAGTCTTCTCTGGGTGCGTTCCCTAGCACCTCCACAGGTGTGTCAGGAATCTGTGTGTCGATTCGTTTCGTCAGGTTCCTCGAGATTCGGGGGCTTGGGGGCTTCTCGGGTTTCCCCTGGGCCCTAAAACCGAAACCGCGGTGGTTTCGGCGGTTCACCGGTTTCCAGCTTGTGTTGTATCCTAGGCGAACGCAGCCTTCAGGTACAGTTGAAGCTTTGGTGGTTGAACTGTCGATTCGGATTAGGGTTAAGGGCTTCGGGCTTTAAGGGTGTAGGATTTAGGTGCTTGACATCTGCAGTTTGTTTCGATTCGGATTAGTTTAAGGGCTTCGGGCTTTAAGGGTTTAGGATTTAGGTGCTTGACATCTGCAGTTTGTTTCTTTCTCTGACGGTGAATAGTCAAGGTGTGGCAACTCGGATGTGAAGCCGAGGGTCTTACGTTATACCTGTGAGCAAGGAATGCTATGGAGTGTGCCTCAAAGATTAGATTGAAGATCTGCGTTCATGGAGCACATTGCAGGTGTGCTAGGCATGCAACAGCACACACAGCATCGATATAGAGCGTAGGAGATGTGCAAGAATAACTAAGAATGGAATGTGCAACCTTTGGAACTTGAGACAGAAGCATGGGTACAGAATCATCAATGTGAAGTTCACATGCAGCAAGAAGAATCCGCTGGGGCCACCTCAGATTAACAAGTCCACAGATAGCTTCTGCTTCAAAACATCATCCCGCTAGTCATGCATCCACGCATGCAGGAAGCCCGTGCCTCGACAAACATGAATCGAGCCACGAAAGCCACAGCGATTCATCGGCCCTGAATGCATTTTGTGGCCCTGAAGGGTACATGCAGGGTATATAGTAGGTGTATAAGGATCCCAGGGTTAAGGGCCCATACCAGAGGCCCATGGTTTCAACTTTGCTCAAGTTTTAATGAGCTTCTCCGAGTGTGGCTGAAGTTGTTTCTGCAACAGACAGCAATCGATAAAGCCAATCTGCTCTCGCCTCGGAGCCCGGTGGAAGCATGTTGCAAGTGTGCTCCCAATCCAACAGAACTCCGCAACACCTGCAACTTAAAGTGCAAGTCCCTCGAGCCCAACATACACCCACAAACCCTCCATAAGCCTCCAAACCTTGCAGTGTCGGGTTTAGAAGAGGGAGCTCGCGACATGACACACTGCAGTATCCACGAAACCTGCAAACCTGCGTGGCAACAGATCGATCTGGTTTGGCCCGGAAGCCGAAACAGAACCATACAAACCTCCCTGACACTAAACCCTACACCCCAAATGCCAGAACAGAACCATATAAGCCAAGACCTAAGCACTTGGGTTCATTGAACTCCGAAACGGTGTTTGAGGCGGCAGCATTGCCGCTGCGCGAGGATATGCTCCAGGGAGGAGGTGCGCTGAACTTTGCCAAAGCATAGACGATTTGGGTACATGGACCCTTGGAGGAGACGAGAACCCGAAGGCTAAATAAGCTGAGCCCTACCTTTATTCTCCATGGTAGTTCCTTGTTTTGGTTAACCAAGTTTACAGCTTGCACTTAAGAACAAAACGGAGATGCATCTTTTGCCTTCATCTGTCGAACCTTATGGACTAAACCCCGAAGGTGGGAGGCAGCACGGTTTTCGGTTTATGGGGTTTATGGCACAATGCGTCGCTGCCATTTTCGATTGTACACAGCTGTTGCATCCCCAGATTGCCCTCGACGCGAGGTCTGAATCAGAACTTGTGTAGTTGCCCTGAGCCTGAACCCACAGCCGAAAATCCTAAATAGATCCCAAACCCCCCATGATCACAACCTAAGCCCCTCAGTCCCTTGCCGTTCATAAACCCCCTACGCACATCTCGACCTAAACCCTAAACCTTAAACCCTATATACCCTAAACTCCCAGACCCTAAACCCTAAACCCTAAACACATGCGCGAAGTCGGAGTGTGAGAGCACGTTGTCCAATTAAAAAAAACCCAAAAAACCCTAAACCCCTAGCCCGACAGCCTGAATTCTCGAAGGAAGCCCTTCTCGCGATCCAGACAGCGAGTCGACGATCGCCCATCAAGGCTGGAGGTGCGCCAGGAGGTGTCATGTGGGTGGTTGTCAACATTATGGTCCCTTTTGGGGTCCTTATTATAATACGGCACCTATTAATTAGGGTACCCCAAAAGGGACCATAATATTGACAACTACCCATGTAGTACAGGGGCCTCCATAGCTACGTCTATTCTACTATTTGGGAGGTTCTTTATATATAGTATGTTTGGGGTTTAGGGTTTAGTATAGGGGCCCTATGTAGTTCCTTTTTGGATAGTATACTATAATTCCTTACCAAAAAACCATAACAGACCCAAAAAGGAACTACATTGGAGCCCCTGGGTAAATACCCTAACTCTCCAGGTACCTACTATATAGGAGTTTAGGGGCTCTAGTACCCTATATAGTAGGTACGTGGGGGGTTAGGGTAACTACCTCTTTTTTTGTTTTGGAGGTCTCTTATTATAAGTTATAGTATAGTATGCCCCTAATCCCTATTCCCTGTAGTAGGGAGTTGCGTATGGGCTTGCTTTCAGGGTCTTTTCATGGGCTTCCTTGAGGGCTTGTACAAAGCCGTCGGTAAGTATGTTATCTGGCCTGAAGCCCTAAGCCCCTAAACCTAAACCCTTAAACCCTAAACCCTTAAACCCTAAATCCTAAACCCTCCACCTTCCTTCGTTACGAGACCCAAAGCCCCGCGAGGGGTGTCCCGCAGGTCAGAGATGCAATCCAGCAAAGGCATGGGTTTCGCTGCGTTTGAGTTGCCGGGTTTTCGAGGCTTCGGATTCGGTGGGGTTTAGAGTATATAAGGTTTTAGGTTTAGGGTTCCGGTTCGGGTTCGGTGGGATTTAGAGTTTAGGGATTATAGGGTTTAAGGTTTAGGGTTTCGGTTTCGGGTTTAAGGTTCATGCAGGTTTTTGAGGCTTGACGGGGTTCAGAAGATGAGGGTTTGGCACAGGATGTGGGAGTAGCCCATATAAGAGCTTGTAGAGTTCATATCTCTGGTGCGCAGATTTTGGCTATCAAAGCGTGTTGCAGTGTAGGCTTTCAGCCGTCTTAGGCATGCTATCGTCTGGGGGGTTGCAGTTTCGAACCGTATGCCAAAGTCTCGTCCCACTGGTTTCGTGCAGCTCCTTTGCGGCACACGCTTGTATCTGTGCAACCCACAAGCTCTCTGATCGCGGGGAAAGTCATTAATCGGAACCCTGCAACAGAAGTGTTTTCCCGCACTTCCAATCTGGAGTTCATTGAAGCCTCAAATGAACGGTAAACCATGGGCCAGGGACGCCTGCGCCCGGAATCCATCTCTACCTCCCAAACCCTGAACCCTGAACCCTGAACCCTAAACACTACAAACCCTAAACCCCCAAGGCTTGCAGTAGCCTCCAGACCCTCCGGGCCCAAGCTTGTAGAGAGTGGGTTTTCATTGAGGTTCGTTAGGCTGCAACACAGAAGTTGCAATAAGTAGACTAGGAGCCTTGGAGTATCTGATACTCTAGTACTGTAATACTAGAACCCTAAACCCTAAACCCTAAACCCTAAACCCTAAACCCGGAATACTAGTAAGGAGTCCAAAGCCTTAAAGAAATTGTATTTGTTTTAATACTTATCGCGAGGGCAGCTTGCCTTGGTTTTTCTGCAAGGCTCTACATTTGGCTGTGAATCGTCGCTTGCTAAGACGGACCTTGGATTCTGGCCACTTAGCCCTCAACGTATAAGGGCCTCCCTAACTAGAATACGGTTCGGGGATTTAGGGTTTAGGGCTTATAGGGTTAATATAACCCTAAGCACCTATATCCCTAGGGACTATAAGTGGTTGAGTACGAGAGATTCAATATCCTGATCCGTAACCACTCAATCCCCAGACCCAAATCCGTAAACCCATAGTTATGCAGGGACTTCCAAGGTGGTTCAGGGTTCAAGATTTAAATGTGACGGTTTTCGGGTTTGGGGGGTCAAAATTGCGGGTTTGAGGGATGTAGTGTTCAGCATTTGAAGGTTTATGATAATGGGGTTTAGCGATTAGGGTCCGGAGTGTAAGGTTTAGGATTTAGGGTTGGACGTATGTTTGTGACATATGGTTCTCCGTAATCCCCTAGTATCCAGGGACTCCCTACCTTACACTATTTGGGGGTTCGGATTGTGGTTCAAGGCATCTTGATATAGGTCCGAAGCTTTAGACCCCATACTCTGCTCTCATAGATCCTCTGCTTGGGTGAACCCTAAACCCTAAACCCTAAACCCTATGGGTTCCATGTAGAGAGCTGAGCTTCCTTTGAGGCTTCGATCTTCAGAACTTCAGGTCGGTCAGAGTGGGCGTACAGCC